CCCTGGAGCCAGTTTGCCACCCACGTGACCGTGCATTTGTCAGAAGGGGGGGATCTGAGCTATCGTTATTATAGAAATCAGATGCTGACCCACAATTTCCTGTCCCTCAGCCGCCATGAGGTACTCTACATGTTGCTGTCCTTTGTTGCTGGTGCTTTGTTAGCCGCTCTGATATTCACAGTCATCTGCTTGATCATCGGACAAAGGAAAAAAAAATGTAAGTGACACAATGAGGAATAACGAGGGCAGCACTCGGGGTTGTCAAAGCTTGTGATGATGCAGGTGAGCAAGTTACAGAACTTCTCATGCTCTGCGTTTAAATGTTGTGGGTGGCACAAGTTGTCCATGGAGTTGTCATGCAACATGACGATGTTACAATAGACACTTAGTAGAGTGTCTCTTACAGGGGAGACCCTTTATCTTTTAAACACAGCTTTTTTTCAGTGTTATAATAATGCTACTTTGCTCAGAATTGTGCTTGGGTTATATCTGCTACGTCGTTAACCACAATCACTTTTTGTTTGCCACTTGGCTGTGCACCATTTCAGCTAGAACGGGGGTAATTGTGCTGTTGCACGTTAAAGGGTAAAAGCTTCCCACTGCAGCCACGACTAGACACTATTCGAATATATGGGCCAGGATTTCCAAAGCACCCACCTCTCACCTTAGCTACTTCATTTAGCTGCCTGTTTCTTCTAATGGATCCAGCACCTATGTCTTTCAGGAATCCTTCTGGAGGAATCCGTGCCATGCCATATGGATAAGATGTGGTACTTGATTATTTAGGATCTTTCTTCAGGGCAGAGCTCTGGCACTTCCTTAAATGTTTCCTCCATCCCCACACCCAGAAAAGAGTCACCTAAGTGTGTTGGTGATGTCATCCCAGTCCAGCTGGCACAGTTGAGGTGGTGAGGGTTACTTGGCTTGGCAACCTGGTGAGGAGAGTGGATGTATCACTCGTGTGCTGATAGTCCTCCAGTCATTTCCCATTATTCCTATTACATGCACAAAAGGACAGAGAAGGCTTGGGGCAGGAGGCTCCACTTGCTGCAGCGCAGATCCTCTGCAGGATGTGCCTCGCAAGTCCTAGTGACACTCCTCTCCCCCTTCAGTCCTTCCTGGCCACAGAATGACTCTGACCCTGTAACCCGGGAGGTGGCACTTCTCAGGCCTGTCTATGGTTTCTATCCCTTTGTCTCCTTTATAGCTCACAGGAGATACCTAGAGGCTTCTCCGGAGAAGGATGCTGTACAGTCTGTGCAGCAGGCAGATGTGGGACATGCCCAGGAAAAGGTCAGAGCTGTTTCTTTGGTGTCTGTCAGGTATTTAAGGCTGAGATTTCAACTGTGTTGTAGACTATGCTTTATTGTGTCTAAAAGTGAATTTGTAACTGAAAGGTGGGCTTTGCTCGTCTAGATTTCACAGTTGATTGCAGTTCCCCTTCACCTTTTAAAAGCAAGTGTTTTCTACTGCAAAGCAATCAGCCTTCCCCACTATCCTCACCCAGGGAGTAACCCCATCATTTCGGCACTGGCAGGGTATTTGTCGACTGGGAAGCTAGATATTCCTTGCCTTGCTCCCAAAGGATTTAAAGGCCACGTTCCTCAAATGCCCTCCAGCAGGGATGGGCAGCCCTTTCTGGCCATAAGACAGAATGACCCAACCTGGGTTGGAGGCATAGGTGGACTCTAGGATGCTGTCGCTGCTGCCGCTTGTCTCCCCTGCACCAGCAACTGCTGCAGAGGCCCCGTGCCTACCGCTCCGTGGGCTGTAGGTTGCTGACCCTTGTCCTAGAGTCTCAGCCTCCTCTTCTACAACTCCTTATAGATGAACCCTTCTCTTTGTAGCAGCATGTGGTTGCCTGGTTATGTTGGGATAAAAATATACAAGGGAGATTGTTCCTCATGTTTGTATGCACGGCTCAAGCACTAACTGAGAAGGTTACCAGGAAACTTAGCCATAAGGCTGGCTCCTTCATTTTCTGTCCATTTATGGACTTAATCTCCCTGAAGCTTTTAATGCTGGGGGCTCTCGCAGGATCTTGGGATCCATTGGTCTGATGCAGCCTGGGTATAACTGTTTCCTAGAAACCAAGGCAGGTTGGGACAGCTCACGCTATGCTGCTTTGAGAGCTTGCTGGGAGCAAGCTGAAGGGTGGGAAGTCCAGCCACAAAGGCAGCACTGGCTCACTCCCCTTTCCTCTTCTCAGCTTCCCCCGGACGAAGTCCATTATGCCTCTTTGACTTTCGAGAAGACGTCCAAGTCTGCTGCAGAGAAATGAAGACACAGCTGCTGCCTCCGGCTCCAAGGGAAGTGGCCGTGTTGTAACCTTGCCAAACGTTGCCTGTCAGACATCAGCCAAGTGACTTGCTGAGCTGCATTGAGGTCTGTGGCACAAGAAAGCATGGTCAGAGCAGGAAGTCATGCAGCACTGTTTTCACCGTATGGACAAATACACTTGGAGCAGCTTCAAAAGGGGAGAGGGAACTTATGCTTAGGAGTGTCCCCCACCTATTACACCAACTGTTAGATGTGCATGAGCCTGTCGTGATATAAATGAGCTCAGTTGCCCCAGCTTTAAAGTTGGGTGAAGGAGAGTTAAATTAGGAGTGTCCATCCTAAGCAGTAACATCTCCTCACCTTTT